TCTCTCTTTCTCTCTCTCTCTCTCTCTTTCTCTCTCTCTGTTTCTCTCTCTCTCTCTGACAAATTTATATAATGTATTATATATTTATTTTACATAATATAATGTATAATATATTAAAATATTTATTTTCTGACATAAAAGAATCCAAGTGAGGGTTAAAGAAAAGAAATCATTTTAACAAAACCAGAAGAAACACGTAGATAATGACTACAACAGTGTAAATGAAAAGATCACTAAAAAGAAATCAAACCCTGAGTAATTAAAAAAAAAACCAGTATGGAAACATAGAGCTGAGATAATTCTCAGGTAGAATGTTACATACATTATCAGATATCTTTACTATGTCCACTGTTTTACGTAAATGTTTCTCTTTATTACCAAGGAAGGTTCCATTCTGGAAGAGTACTATATCTAGAAATGACTATAATGTAAAAACAAAAGGCTTGACAAAATCTTATTTTTAAAAAATTAGTTGGGCAGGTAGGTGGCACAGTGGATAGAGCACCAGCCCCGAAGTCAGGAGGACCTGAGTTCAAATCCGGCCTCAGACCCATAACACTCACTAGCTGTGTGACCATGGGCAAGTCACTTAACACCATTGCCTAGCCAAAAAAATAAATAGTTAATTGATCATTTTAAACAAAGAAATAGACTTGGACTGTATTTGTTTCTCAGTGGTGCCTTTTGTGGACAGGCAGATGTTTGTGCACAGGTGAAGGAACTGCTCTTTCCCTGCAACAATAGTTCAAGTTGTATGTATATTTCTCTTTTTAAAAACTATTCAAGTTGGCTCCCATATAGAAATGTAAATGCACCAGAAGTCTGAAATGGAAAAAAAATCATAGTGAAGAAAGGATGAGAAATGTTGTAATAAAATGAATTGCCTTGGCTTTATGTAACGCGTATTTGTTTATTTGTTTGTTTTTTAGCAAAGAAAACAGCAGTGATGGGAAGTACCCACAGCATTCTCAGGTCAGTATCCTATTGCTTTATATACTGTGTATCAGTGTGAGATATAGTAATTGTGCCATGCTTTGCCACAAGATCAGCTCTGAGATAGGTGTACTTTAAGAAGGCTCCTTAAGAGGCATTCGAGATTCCTTTATTTAGTAGATATATAATAAATGCTTATTGAAGGAATGAGTAAATGAAGTACAATGGACTGAAATTAATTTGGGAGTCAGAGGACCTTCACTTAAATCCCACTTACTCCTGGTGTGACTTTGGGTCATTCACTTCACCTCCCTGGGCCTCAGTATCCCCACCTGAAAAATGAGGAGATTTTTCTAGAGGATCTTTAAGGTTCCACACAACTTTAGAAATATGAATGAGTGAATCTTTCTAGTAGCAATGATATTGAGCAATAGGGAGACTTCTTATTGGCTTTCATACTCCATGCTAAATGGGCTTATAATTCCAGTATGTCTTTCTATTTCCCTTTTCCATCTTGTGTCTCGAAAAAATGAAATGTTTTTAATTTGCGGTAGTTTCTCCTAAGTCCAAAAAAAATGGTATTTAGTAGAACACTCATGTTAATCTTATGGGTTATTCAGGACAAGCAGAACAGACACCCAAGTTCTTAAATATTTTCTTGAAGTCACATTGCAGATCTCCTCATTAATACAGGCATCTCTTGCTTAAATACAATGATAGCAACATTCATCTATGTAGCACTTCAAGGCTTTCAAAGTGCTTTCCTCCTCCCAGCATTAATAAGGTTGTGCAAGTGTTATCCCCATTTTACAGATGAAAAAACTAAGCCTCAGAGAAATAAAGTAATTTGCACGAGGTCATGAAGACGTGAAGACAGCTGGTGATAGAAAGGAAGCAGATGGGTAACACTTAGGAGACTGGTACTTCTCTTAACAAGGCTGTATAGCTTCTATTTATTTTATCAAACAGTAACTAGTTTTTCTCTAAATAAGTGACTTTAAAAGATATGTTGCATGTGGGCAGCTAGGTGGTACAGTAGATAGAGCATCAGCTCTGGAGTCAGGAGGACCTGAGTTTGAAACCAGCCTCAGACACTCGATGCTTAGTAGCTATGTGACCCTGGGCAAATCACTTAACCCCAATTGCCTTGCTTAAAAAAAAAAAAGATATGCTGCATTCTTAATTGTGTTTTTATTTACACTGGGAACCCAGATTTTTTCTAATAAATTTCATCCTCAATTTTGGAATGAAAGCGAATCACTTAAAAATTCACTTCATTGCAAACTTTCCTGAAACACATGGGTTCTATTAAGTGACAAACACTAATACAAGAAATATGAGTGGTTTAGATCCCCTAGTTCCAAGAGGTTTTTTTATTGGAGGGCTTCTTAGATCAAAACAAAGATGGCAGCAAAATGCACTAGTCTTCTAGTTTCTCTATATTGAAAAGGATTAAAGAGTGTTGTGTAGTGGGTTTTGAGCCCTGGCCCTGCCTCTTAATAGCTACATAAATTGGGTAAGGCCTTTACCCTATTTGAACTTCATGTTCATCATATATTAAAAATGAGAATAACAACAACAATATTCTCTACCTATCTTACAGAATTTATTTCAGATGAAGCGAGATGTATATGAAGTGTTGTGTAAACTGTAAGGCACTATATTAATAAGAAGTCATATGCATAAGGGACAGAAGGCCTGCCTCAGAGTCAGAAAGATGTGATTTAAAGTCCTTACTCTGATACAGCCTGGCCGTGTGATGCTGAGCCTAATCAATAATTTAAAACCGTAAGTCGTAGAAAAGTTACTGACCTAAATTTGTAGAGGGAGTTCCCTGCACCAACATTGCAGGTCTCACTCAAGATAGATAGATAGAAAGATAGATGATAGATAGATAGATAGATAGATAGATAGATAGATAGATAGATAGAT